TAAGTGTCTATATCAATTACAATTAAATCTGGTAAAGATATGTATTTCGAAGTRAATGGAGCCAAATACACAAAGGGACAGGTAAGGCAAAGTCGCAAAAAAATAAACTCACCAGCTGTTAGACAAAGTTACTGAAGAATAAGCCTTTTACCAGTTCAATGCGAGCGAAAACTGTTTTAGTAGAAAACAGACTCACTTGCGTGGAGGACAAAAGAAAGAACGAAAAAATGTTGGCATCTAAAAATTTGAATCTTCTCAGATTTGAGGCTTAGCCTGAGCAAGACGCTGAACCTTCTGGGAATACAGACTTAGCGCTATTTTAATAGCAACATTTTTTCGTGCTTTCTTTTGTTTTTGGTCAGTTCTCTGCTCATGAGAGACTTCAATCAGAGGCTGTTTGCTTTGAACGGAAAAAAGGCGTATTTCACAATGCAATGTCACAACTCTTTGTTGTTGTTGTCGTTGTTGTTGTCGTTGTTGTTGTTGTTGTTGTTGTTGTTGTTGTTGTTGTTGTTGTTGCTGTTGCGCGTAACAATTAGCAATTAATTAAAAAAAGTATTTATTATCTTTTACCCAGATCTCAATCGTCCATAATTACCCTATTTCATTTGAATTTATATGGTGGTCATATTCACCTATATGTCATTGGTGCCCATGTCTTACATCTTGAAAGAGAAGGATCTTTCGGACAAATATGGTTGTGCATATACACGTCACTGATGAACACATACAAGGCTCTCATGTGCCTATTATGTGAAGAAGAACTTTTCAAAGGGACTTAAACCTTATACTAAAAAGACATTTTTGAAGGACGCGCTTTGAAACCTTCTTAAAAGATTCGAACCARCGCTATATGTATTGCCTAACCCTACGCTTTCCGCAAACATAAAGAATGAGTTCAATTCGCTTGACACRCATTATTGCGCTAATATACTACATGTACTCTCTCATGTCGTGACTGTGACATGCGCCAGATGTGACGGGTGATATATCATTATTAGTCGCCCCTACTAACTCCTACTAAGCGAAGTTCCGCGATTGCGCCATGCCGTTCTGTGTCGGCATCCGCTGCATTTGCACGAAATCATACAAAATTCCAGGAGGAGCCAACGGGATCTGTTCTTCTAAATAACTGTTCTTGCACGAACGTTTTCCTGGGAAAAGGATTTTTAGCTACATTGTTGACAATATTGACTAGTAAATGTGGCGCCCTTAATTCCTTCTTTAAAATAATTTTGTTCCTGGCACACGTTTTTAAGGTCAAAAAGGTTTAGTTAGGAAATTTTTATTTTCCTGGCAAAAATTAATAGAAAGTATTTCTTGCCTCGAGAGTTCTTTTTGTCCTGAATTTCTCGCTGGCAACCAGTTGTGACCTAATCTGGCTAGGACATAAGAACAGATATATTTCTCCCAGCAACCCATCGGCTCCTCCTAAAATTCGCTCTGATCCCTCGACACATTCTTTTTATTGTCTCACCTCACAATACGGTTCGCTCTCTCTGACGGTGGACCCCTTTTCTTGTGCTTTCAGTATTATGGTATCAATTTCCTGATAGTAAACCAGGATGGGACGATCTATGGTGACGCGGCCAAAGCTACAGGTTTTGATATACAAAGCGATAAGACTCTCCAGGAAGCCAAAAACTACATCACGTCGATTCCCGATGGCAAAATTGTACTAATGACTACCAGTGAGGAGAAGMACATGCCTAGTAAATCGAGTACTTTTAACGAGCTGGAAGACAGCTTCAGGTCCATAGGTTCGAAAAAGAGATTTGGGGAAATTAAAGATAGCGAATCCTGGTCTTTGATTGGATACAAGGGTGGCGATAAGACATGGGTTAAAGAGAAACTAAGCTCTCTAGAGGAWGAAGTCCTCTCGGGCACCATCACTCCCTCAAATCCGTGAATCTTTCCGTGCTTCTACAAAACAGTACAACACCCAATTTTTTAGCCTCTAGTGATTCAAACTTATGTCAGGAGGCCGTAATTAAATAGCACTTGCATAATTTTCCCTACAAAACATCGCATGAAAACTGCTCCTATTATCCCTATGAAGGCTAGTCAGAGTTACACTAAGCTTACGACATTTTAACTAAAACTCACACACATCGTGTAGCGTGTTTCACTTTCRTTTTACAGATTTCAGGCCGAGGGAAGACTGGGCAAAATCCCTTAGCTAAATAGCCGACTTGCGAATTACGCATCAATAGTCACATACAAAGGAATCAAGACGAGGCGCCGTGCTAAAGACAATAGATTTTCACAAAAAAGCACGGCGCCTCGTCTTGATTCCTTTGTATGTGACTATTGATGCGTAATTCGCAAGTCGCCTATTGAATAATGGTGAGATAAGACTTACATAGAAAGAAATATAAAATCCAAAAAGTTGGCGTAAATCGGTTCGAAACTGAGAGAGTTACAATTGCAACTTTTCAATTACACTGAAATTTTCAAAAGAAGTGTATGGGATCTTATCCGCGATGTCCGGACCGAACACATTACTCGCAACTTCCTAAATAATTCTTTGGAAATTCTACTATCTTTATTATTCCTTTGGTAATTCGTTTAGTATTCAACTGATTTACAAGTTCTGCATGATATTTCGCATTTCTAATTAAGGTATTTCATTCTGTCTCATCTCAATGTCACCGGTATGTTATCCAGTCCCTTTTACCCGGGCCTCGGCTTGAAATACGGCAATGATCGTGACTGCTCTAAATACTCGAATTCTCCAATACTCGAATTCTCCAATGCTCTGTGTTAGCTTCATTTGTGCTCAAAATACTTCCTAATTGTGAGAATAAAAGTGTGAGATTTCAAATCAATTCTATTGTCTTTCTTGCCAAATTCCATGAGTTTTCTCAGGCCATCAATGAAACAAAGAATATGTTGCTTGGTTTTGAGGCTAACACAGAGTAAACCAGAACTCCAAATTGGATTATTCGACTCTTAAGGTCCGTTGACACTTGCAATTTTTGCAGCGCGATTGTAGCGCGACAATCGACAGTTTGTTCTCGCGCACCTCAAATCGTACGTGTAAACAGCCCTGCGATTGTCGCGGTGAACAAAAAATTGCCGCGAGTTGCAGCTAGATTTCAAGCATGTTCGAAATTCAGGCAATCAAAAATCGCAAGAGAAAACTGGCCTTAAGGATGTGGCTTGAAAAACAGATATAGGAATTGCATATCAAATCCAGAATATAACTCACCAAAACTATATTCAAGCACCATGCATCACCATTCAGCATCACCAATAGGCGACAAGGAAAAATCACATAAATAGTATGACAAGAAAAGATGAGATGCACGCTTGTCCTTAAGAATTTTAACGACTTTTTTCCTGTGAATGTCTACCCAATATAAAACATCAAAGTTGCGTAATAAGGGGATGCAGTTCATCTATAGGAATAAAATTTGTGAAAGTAATTCGTTGTTGATTACTTTTCAATATGCAATATTTAGCAGCTTTTGACCCTGACTGCAGAGTTGACTCGTACGCGCCAATAAATGTCTTGAAAATTGCATGTGCGGGCTTATTAAAATTGGTCAGCGAAACGCAATGAGAGAATCTGTATTCAACGAAACGACACGAGATTTTTTCTCTAGATATACAACCCAATAGGCTTTGAAAAATCTTTAAAAGCGAAGACATAGTATAAACATCACGCACTGCAATGCAAACTGACTCAATCTGGCTWGTCAATTAGCGAGCTTGCGTAGTCTTTGGTTATTTATAATTGCACTGTAAAACAAAGTAAAATATGGATGGACTAATTCTAGTTGTAGTAATTTAAAGGTCAAGTATACCTCAGTATCAAAATCAGACAGTTCGCAAATTGTCGGTGTAGTTGACACCGTGGCAGCGATCTCAACAAGAAGGTTATCCCGTTCTATAAAACCATGATCGCTTCAATCTTCATCTAGGAATACTCCTTCGTGAATAGCATTGTTTTCTTTAATCCAGAATAGACAGAATCCCTTATCAAATTGGAAAATTTACTAGGCTATGCAAGTCAAAATCAGACAGCCAAGTTGAGGCTTCACTCAGCTACGAAGTATCGGTTTATATCTCGCCAAGGAAAATGCACTATTTGTCTCGATACACCAACCTTTATGACCTAAAYCAATGTCCTTATACATGCTCTTGCACAGATGAATGTTTTGGAATAACAATGGCCTAGCTACAAAAACTCCTGTGAAGTAACTGTACTATGATACGATTGCTTACAGCAGTTCGTAATGTGATATTTCGTATAGAGATTGGGATACCCCGAAAAAAAAACTATACGCGCTGCATTTTATACCTCGTGCCCCGGCCTAGGGCCTGGGCCCGAGTACTTAGTAACAACGAGATGATAGGATCACATTCATAATTTCCAAATTAGCATACAACAGGACAAAATTACATCATTTAATTTTTCACGGTGCTTGCACTCAGTCAATCTGGCTTTCTAGTAAAACTTAGTCGGTCCCTCCATTGTATTTCGAAYTAAAAGCCAAGATAATAGTTCGGCTTTCTCCTAAAGTACCGGTTAGTTTACCCATTCAAGCCATAAATACATCAGTACTTTCGGAGAACAATGCGTCCGCCATCTTGAAAAGTGGGACTCGAATCACTAAATTATAACTCCTAAAAGAATTATAAAAGGTTCTCAGCTAATGTCAAGTTAATATAATACGATATAATGATGGATTAGTTGACTACGAAACTACGAAATCTGTTCTAAGGCACAACATAGTGATTCCGGTCTCACTTTTCAAGATGGCGGACGCATTGTTCTCCGAAAGTACTGRTGCGTGTATTATATCATATCGAACAGAACTCAGTCGATCCGTTCCAGCCAATCTAACACAGCTTTGACATCTGGTCTGTCCTCGCTTTCTCCTTTACAGCTACATTCAACGAATTCCACTTTGACAGGGTTGACATGACTAAACTCGAAATCTTTCCCTTTCTTACCAACAAAAACATCGGAAGACGAGCCATCGGTACCTTGGAGTGCAGCGGAGCGAGTGATACGCTGRGTATTGCTGTAAAAAATGACAAGAAGATGATATGTAGTTGGAAAAAAAGAAAAACATTAGGTTGATTCAAGAGAAGATTTATTAATATATTAAGAATATATTTAAAAAAAAATCTCTCGAATTCGTTGTACAAATGCGGTCACCTTCTAGACGACGATTCTCCTGACAATACCGCTCATGATCAAACCAGTGTGCAATGTTTTTGCAGAGTATAAAATTGGTAATATAGATTTCAACTTTGAAAAGAAAAGACGACAAAGATGCGCCACAAGTGGGTAGATATTGTATCTTAGTCGTATTTAGCCTCCTCCGCAGCCCCTCGCTTTGCCCTTTTTTCGAGTCGGGACCTTGGCATCCTCGGCATCCCATTATCCCCTGTAATCTTACTGTAAAAAATTCCCCAAAGCTATGGGAAGTGGCAAACAAKGAGAGATGCCTGCGAAGGGGCACAAAAAATGATCCTTGTTATAGTGCCAGATAATAAAATGGGTTAGAAATTAGTGAAAAAAAATTGTTTGTCATAAAAAAGAACATTTGATGCACGAAAATCAGATAGGAAAACCTCGAGTTCTTAAAGCTTTAGATGATTGAATTACCAAAACTTACATTTCTTTCTCCAATTGCGTTTTGATAACTCTTGCGGACTTTGCAGTAGTCATGTCTATAAATAAATGAGCGATTATTAAAAGAACAGAAAAGAAAACGAATAAGTGAACATGTGAAATACAAAAACATCAAATAATAGCATTGGTACATTTACATATATACAGAGCGATTTCCTGTAATTCATCAAACGTTCCTTCTGTAAGTTCTGGATGCTGAGATACGTGATATGGTGTATTCAGAAACCTATAAGGGACTTGAAACGTGTAACTCCGTGCCATCCGTTGGAACATCCGTTGGAACAAATCTCATTTGCATCTCATTCAGTTCTTAATTGGAACAATTAAATTTACCCTATAGCCAAGCAGAACGGACCTTCAATATCCATATTTCCAAATAWGGTCATAACGTTCGTTTTGAATTTTTAATGAGCTTTGAATATGTCGATGCTTGGAACTAAAGAAATGTACGGGCGCTACACGTTTCAAGTCCCTTATAGGTTTCAGGTGTATTTCAACAGAAATGCAATGTTGGTTGTTTTGTCGCCTCCTCCAGCGGTTTTCACTGATCAAGAGCGACTATGCCTGCTCATCACGGTGAAAACGTTTGATGGAAGAAAACTTAGTTAGCTGTGATGCCGTTCATTTAGAATCCAGTCTAGCAACAATGCATTTCGCGCATAATTCACTACTGACCAATTATTTTGAAATATCTGATGAACTAATTGGACAAACGTTGTTGGGTTCAATAATATTACATTATTAAATACAGTTAGATTTACAATCGTTTCAGCCCTTAATACTGCCGGTATCTTTGGCATGGCGTGTAATCTCTTTGCATCGGTTCATATTCAAGAAACAAAGTCTTTCCTGTTACAATACATACCYTGTTTATTGCATGCTACCAGTATAGGCACAGCAGCTTGTGTTATGGTCTTGCTAATAAGAATATCGTACATCTGCCTAAAAACAAACATTAACTTTATTTATCATTGCTAGTCTGCGTAGAGGCGCTATGGGAAATGGAGAAGGCCGTGCGGGGATTGGCGCAGAATGAGGATCTTCTCCCTGATTCATGACTCACAACATTCACTGGTTTATTGACCACGAACAAAGCATTGAAAGGAGGCGTCAAGGTACACTGAGCGCAGATCTTTTCTTTTATGCTCGCTGTACCTTGACGCCTCGGTYCAATGGTTTGTTGATGGTCACTGAACCAGTGAATATTGTGAATCTCCGCACGGTCCTCCGCCAGTCCCCTCGGTCCACTACACAGGCCTATTTATTGCTTGTGCATTTGACTGTCTTTTTCATGGCCTTTTTCAAATTTTGAGGRAAAAAAAACTAAATAAACAGAACAAAAGCCAGCTCAAAAAAGTAACTGCTGCGAGAGGAGACTAAACATGCATCCCAGAATTGCATCATTCTGGGATAATCTATGTAATGCAGTTTGTCGTTATTATGCATGCTGATGTCTTGCCTTTYGAAATATGAAAAGCAATTTCAAAACCTTAGAAATGTTTTTAAAATTTGTGACCTTRTTTCTCTAGTACTCATTTCAGCTCGGTCAATGGCTGCTATTTTAAAGATTGATTCCAGAAAGTTTCAATAAAGTGATTGCCACAAGCCAAGGAGGTCTACTTACTCTGCTACATCTTTGATTTCTCTTGGGAAATTAACGCTATCCACTACAAATATGACAGCTCTGAAACAACATCAAACTTGTCAATAACTCATCTATCATGGCCCCTAAGCCCCATGGGAATTCCTGGACAATTAACATTTTGACAATGTTAAAATCCAGATGACAGATGTACAAAGGTTGATTAGTGCTATCCACTGGAAAATCCCAAGTCTTCAGCAGAAATCTATGGAGTGGATAACTGAGTT